CACATTCAGTAATGTGGCAGGTTGGAAAATTAAAGTACAAAAGTCTGTATCCTTTCTATATACCAATGACAAGCAGTCAGAGAAAGAGCACAGGGAAACCCTCCCATTCACAATAGCCACAACAAAATACCTTGGAATAAACCTGACCAAAGACATTAAAGAGCTCTACAAGGAAAATTTTAACTCTTTAAAGAAAGAAATTGAGGAAGACATCAGAAGATGGAAGGACCTCCCATCCTCATGGATTGGAAGAATTAATATTGTGAAAATGACCATCCTACCAAGAGTCATATATAGATCCAATGCAATGCTAATCAAAATCCCCATGACATTTCTCACAGAATTGGAAAAAAAAAACATAGTAAGATTCATAAGGAAGCACAAAAGACCTCAGATAGCCAAAGCAACCCTGACCATTAAGAGCCATGCAGTGGGGATTACTATACCAGATTTTAAGCTGTATTACAGAGCTATAGTAATAAAAACAACATGGTACTGGCACAAAAATAGACCCATAGATCAATGGAATAAAACTGAAGATCCAAATGCGAGTAAATGCAATTTCAGCCACCTGATATTTGACAAAGGGGCCAAGAACATTCACTGCAGGAAAGACAGCACGTTCCACAAATGGTGATGGATCTCCACCTGTAGAAGAATGAAACTAAACCCCTATCTTTCATCTTGCACAAAAGTCAACTCCAAATGGATCAAAGACCTCAATGTGAAGCCTGAAACTCTGAAACTGTTAAAGGAAAACATTGGCAATAAACTACAAGATATAAGTGTAGGAAAGGATTTTCTAAACCCAACACCAGGAAACAAGGTCAAGAATCAACAAATGGGACCTCATTAAACTAAAAGGCTTTGGTACACCAAAAGAAGCAACCAAGGAAGTGAAGAGAAAACCCACAGAATGGGAGAAAATCTTCACCAGTGACATATCTGACAGAGGTTTAACATCCAGAATATATAAAGAACTCAAAAAACAAAGAATCGAGAAACCAAATGATCCAGTT